GGGGGGGGGGGGGGGGGGTCGGTGAACCGAGAACCGGGATCAAAAATGGGGCTTTGTGGGCATCATATTCGGCTTCACAAAGCTAGAAGGGTCGTGTTTTTTTTTTCTGAGCGATGTCCCTCTAGAGGGATCTATACACATGCAATTAGTCTACAAAGGGTCGGTCGCTTGCCAGCAGGCACGCCAATAATCCCTAATCCCACTGACTAGCTGCAGCATATGATCTATTACCGCTTCTGTCAGCGTCCTTGACCAGACATCCTCCTTGCAGTGCAATGTAGGAAGTACCAAGACGAGAGTGTGAATATCGCTAAATACTTTGAATGTCTAGACCTTAAACCCCCGGCCCTATAGGCCTCAAGCCTAAACCCTACCTCCTAAGTGACGACCCATCAAAGCCTTCACTGAAGGCATGTACCTTGCCCCGAGACTCCAATATACCTTAATTAAGGAATATACCTTAAATTATAGTAGGATCCCTAATATGGTTTAAGGCATATTCCTTAATTAAGGGATATTGGAGTCTCTGGGTGGTCAGAACCGACCAAGGGTTTAGCACTTGTTCCAGCATTGTTTATGGGCCTCCCTAAACCCTAATCCCTAATCTCCAAAATCCCTAAACCCTGAATCCTGAACCTCTACCTAAACCCCCATATAAACCCGAAGCCTTAATCCCTAAACCCCGAAATCTAAAGCCCGATAAAGGCCTTCCTCACCTTTGTGGACAAAAGAATTGAAGCCACAGGCTGGGTAAGCCTAAACCCGGCACCCTTAACCCTAAACCCCCTTTGGGGTTTAGGGTTTAAGCCACACCGTACTCCCGAAACCCTTAACAGGCCCTAGCACTATTGGAATCCCCAAACTCCTGCATCCCTACACTAAATTCTAAACCCTAAACCCGAAATCCCTAAGCCCCAACACCCCAACACCCCAAATCCCGAAGCCGCCCAAACCCCAACATCCTAACCTCCAAATTCTTAAACCCTAAACCCCCATATCCCCCCCAAGCCCTATTTTAGGAACCCTTACAACATAAACCAATAAGGGCTCCTTTTAGCTTCCTTTACACGCCCTAAATCCCGGTCCCCCACAACCCAAGGACCCCTCAACCCAGAGAGCCCAAGACCCCTTAAATAAGGAATGTAGCTTGAGGGTTTAGGGTTTAGGGTTTAGGGTTTAGGGTTTAGGGTTTAGGGTTGAGGGTTTAGGGTTCAGGGTTTAAATCATAATATGAAGCCCCTTGTGCTTTAATCTATATTCTTAATTTACGGGGTATTGGGTTCTCTGGGAAGCCCTAAACGCCCTTACTCAGGTATTTACAAGGCGGCCTGAAAGGCCAGGAGCATCTCGGCCGACCGATGAGACCTCCGGGTTTTAGGGTCTATAGGCTTTGGTTTAGGGTTTAGGGTTGAGGGTTTAGGCTTACCGGATTTAGGGTTGACGGTTTTGGGGTTTAGGCGGTTCAGGGTTTAGTAAGTTTAGGGTGAAATAGAATTAAAGATCTTCATTCAGTGATAGGGTTGATGAAATGTTGGGCTCGTCTTGCGGGGGTTGATTAAGGTTTGGGGCTGTGATTCTTCCCGTGAAGGGGTGTAGGGATCACGGTTGCGCTGTTCGGCGTAAGCCCTAGACCCTCAAACCTAAACCTTGAGTCACGTGCTCAGTAAACCCTAAACCCTAAACCCTAAACTAGGGTTAAACTCGCTAGCAACCCTGCAGTTTCCAACGATCAAGAGCCGGCTAAACAAGAGCCGGCATGCGGATTGTGCAGAACATCACACTCATGCGGCAAGACGTGGCTTTCCCTCTTGCACTGTACGTGCCACCACTTTTCCTTGTTGTGCTGGGACATCCATTGCCGTTGGCTTTCCCAATAGTGCACCAACGTAGTATGCATCGATCCAGCAGGAAAGTCATCGAGCAATTGTAACTGTATGTCGGAAACAGATTTTAGCACAACAGTCAACGGCTGCGGAACAAGCGGGGAATGCCACGTAGCCAGTTTGAGAAAGCCCTAAACTTGATACCTGAACATTCTTAAGGGTTTAGAACGATTTCTATGTATTGGTCGAGGGGGGCCGTGATTCTCGAGTTATCGATTTCGGGCTTGCTTACTAGTCGGGTTTATGGCATCAAGGGCTTGGGGTTCAAGGGTTTGGATGTTGTAGGGATTGATGGTTTAGGGGTTGTGGTTTAGGGGTCATGGGCTTAAGTTTTACTGTTCAAGGATTTGAGCTTCAAGGCTTTATGGTTTCTCTCTGTGTGTGTGTAGGAGTTCTGGGTTTCGGAGTTTCGGAATGATAGTACCGCGACAGCCACCACAGGGATCGCATGTGGGCGCAGGACAGCTCTCTCGCGGTTTTATAAAGGCATGGGGCTGTGGGCTTCGGGTTTGGGGTCGAGGCGAGTTCGGATTTGGTAGAAACCTTACGCCCTAAGCCACTAAACCCAACACATTTGGCAGGTAAGATGCGGCACATTGCATTCCTTATGCTGGGTGCTTGTTGAGGAACTTAAGTTAAGTTGCCAGAATAGGGATCTATAGCACATAACAGGGTTTCCTTACTTGTTATGAATCATGTTTCTTTCATCTTATTGCTAAGGGAATACGTAAAATCTAAAAGGGATGCCCGTAAATTCTAAACCCCCTCAACCGGTAACCGCAACGCAGTCTAAGGCCATGTTCGCTGGCATGCTCGCCGCAGACCGAGGCAACGATCTTCCTAAGTGGCGCCGCCTGTCAGAAGTGATTTGCGGTTGTAGGTTTTAAGGCTTTAGGGTGTAAGGTTTTGGAGTTTAGGGCTTCAGATTTAGGGTTTAAGGTTAAGGAGTTTAGGGTTTTGGATTTAGGTTTTGGGGTTTAAGGTTTAGGATTTAGGGGTTAGGATTTAAGGTTGAGGGTTAGCGAGTTAACCGCATCTTAGAGGGTACTTAATAATTGGAATAGGGTTCGGGGCGGTATGTTACATCGATATTACACATGTACTTAGTTCGGGGGTATGTTACACTGATGCTACACATGTAGTTAAAGTGGCATTCACTGTATTGTACCGGAAGGAATTGCGTTGTTAAGTGCTCATGCTTTTGTATGAGACCCTAAACCCTGAAACACTACACCCGTACACCCTGAACCCAAACCCCAAAACCCTTAGCCCCCAGACCCACAAACTTTATACAGATTCAAGCCACATAGACCCTAAACCCCACACCAACAACACCCTAAAAACCCTAAACCGCCTAAACCCCAAAACCCTATCCCACAGCCCTAAACCCTATATCCCCAAACCCTAGATCCCGAAACCCTGAGCCCTAGATCCCTGGCCTTAGACGCCCTAAACCCTAGATCCCTAAACTCTAAGCCCTATCCCTAAACCCTAAACCCTGATATCCCAAAACGCTAAACCCAAAACCTTATCCCCTAATATCCCAGAACGCCGACTTGTATGCACCCCTCAGGTTCCAAAGCCTCTTCTCTCGGCCCTTCGGCGGAGCGATGGCCTCTTCGGTTGCCGTGGCCTCGGTCCTAAGACGGATGTCCTTTAAGGGTTTAGGGGTCAGGGTTTAGGGTTTAGGGGGGGTTCTTCCTTTCAGGAGTTTCTGGAGGGTTTCTTTTTCAAGGATACTGTAGGGTTTAAGGGGTCCTTGAAGGGTTCTGTATGGGTTTAGGGTTTACGGCTTTGGGTTTTGGGGTTTACTATAACTACGCCAGCTACGCTTTAAAGTAGGGCTTGGGCATGTTGATCCGGTTTTAGTGGTTATAAGGGTTTATGGGCCTTGAGTTTCATAAAGGTTGTTAGGGGGTTAGAGGTTAGGGGCCTAGACGTTTTTGGAAGATGTCCTCGGACGTCACATGTGAGAAGAATGCAGGAGATCTTCAGCGAAGGAGCTGAGCCTCTAACCCTAAACCCTAAACCCTAAACCCTTAATTAAAATTACAGCCTTCGCTGTGGCGTTGTGATTCAAAGTTTAGGGGTTTAGAAGGGGTTTAGGCTTTACATTTGGGCCTGGGCTTCAGGGTTTGAGGCCTGTGGAGTATGAAAAATGCGGAGGGTTTGGGGTTTGACATGGCTGCTTGTCGGGCTCCCAATCGACGGCAAAGCCAACAGAACACACCTTGCCCATCTGTGCCGGCTCAGCCCGCTCAACCGTTCCTGAATTGACATACCCTACCCCTGCTTTAAGGTACCTAGTTTTATGGTTAGGGTTTGTTATATAAAACAAGTACGTACCCTAAAAAAGGGGTAGGGTATGATCCTATAGGTTTGCGACGGCACGACATTGCGTCCGCACTTGACGGCGTTCCTGCATGGTGTAGGTTTGTAAAGTTTATAACATACAATGCGACTAGCGGCTTGCCCAGAAAAAGACTCTCTCGCCTAGTTACGCTCGAGGCGCTGACTGATGTTCGGGAAATAGAATCAATCCCTGAACCCCCGGTACCTACTATATAGGGTACTAGAGACCCTAGGGCCCTATATAGTTGGTACCTGGAGGGTTAGGGAATTAAGTGGCAGCCTTCTTGAGACCCCGCCCGCAGCTCTCCAGGTGAGCTACATGTCTGCATTGGCACCAACACGATGTGGTGCTTTGCCTGCATTTGCTTACGACTTCCGTTCAGGATTGAGAGCTTTCTTGTCGCATTACCCAGATGGCTTCCAAGGATTATTTGTACACTTGCGTACACCAGAACGATCCAGGATGCATTGAGCAGGGTGTGCCGATGGCTGTTGCAACGTATTGCGAGGGACGGTAAGCTCTCATAAAACCATCATGATTAAACACATACGTGCAAGATTGTCCGTACTTGCTGGGTTGTTTCAGTTTGCCCCCATGTGTGTTGGGGGTGATTAAGGTTTCTTTTTACAGAGAAAAACGACCCTAACCATAGTACATGGGTTATCATGCCAACACGGGTTCTGCTGTTCAGTTCAGGGTCCTGGTCCAAGATTCGAAGGAAGTCGATGGTACGTACAAAGCAGGGTCTCTGTATCAGGAACGACTGTTCCGCCCTTCTCTATATGTATGCGCCCATGTCACTACAAACCCTAAAACGCTTAAGCCCGTCAACCCGAAGAAGGAGCCCTGAACCCTATAAACCGTTAAATAAGGAGCCCTTCAGTTCAGAGTTTAGGACAAGTTTAGGGTTTATAGGGTTTAAAGTTTAAAGTCCCTCGGACCACCAAAAGGAGGAACTCAGGACCCCTCCGAACTCAAGCAGGAGCCCATTCACGGAACCCTTAAAAAGCCTCAAAAGTAACTTCGGTTCCCGTCTGTGACCCCTAAACCCTAAACCCTAAACCTTAAACCCGGGGCGGGGAAGACGAAGGACCCGAGTCGCTGCGGACACACTTTTCGGCTCCCTTCGCCCCGCTGCGCGTGTGGAGGCCAGGACCTGACTCGTTAGGAGCTTTCGGATTCATGGGGTTTAGGGTTTAGGGCTTAGGGTTTAGGGTTTGGAGTTTAGGGTTTAGGGTTTAGGGTTTAGGGTTTAGGGTTTAGGGAGGGTTTCTTCCACAAGCTCTAGACCGTCTGGCACTAGTTAACTTCAAAGTTGCAAGTTCATTGATTGGGGATTTATAGGGTTTAGGGTTTAGGGCAGGCTTAAGCTTGTAGGGGGTTTGAGGGTTCTAAAAATGTAGAAGCCGTTCATGCGCGATTCACAGGGGATGCATAATGGATTTACAAGGGATTTGTCAGGGATTTACAGGGATAATGGTTTAGACAGTTTGAGGGTTTAGGGATGAGGCTTTTGTTTTTTTGGTTGGGGGTTGGCATATAGGCTTAAGCAAACGGCAGTTCTGAGAGTTTCGGGTCTCGGATGAATCTGTTTTGGGTTTGGGGTTTAAGGCTTTAAAGGTTTGCGGTTTCGGTCGGATTCACTTGTTTGGCTGAGTAGGTAGCTATACATCACCAGGATTAAAGTTTCGTCGCACTCGGCTACACCATCTTGCGGAGGACACGGAGTAC